GATTTCTCAATCCATGAGTTCAGTCTGGATGAGAATGACAGCAGGGTTTTCTCTTTCTAGGGTCCTTAGCTGTGGAACTCTCTAACAAGAGAGGTCTGCAAAGGTACGGCTATACTGCAATACAACACGAATGCCTGGCCCATTCCTCTGACTCAGGCTCATGGGGCTTGGACTGGAGAGCTATAAAATTGCAATACAGATATCTGGAGTTGGTCTAAAATCCGGCACCTTGTCAGGTCCTAGAGCCCAGGCTCGTCTAGCCCAATCCCAGCTGTACCTCCCTGCAGACCGGATGCTCTTTGGAAGCATTCTCCTTCACTGTTTTCTTTGTTGTCATTTTTCTCTTTTATATCTATTAGTGCCTCTATATTATTTTTTATGCTAATTTACAAATTGTTCCCTCTTGCCTATTGGGATGGCTTATCCATTTTACTGGGTTGCACAGATCATTTTGCTCTGCTTTGTGAACTGCCCAGAATAGTTCCAACTGGATCTTTCATACAAAGCATTATATTTTCATTCATTTAATCATATGATACTCGGGATTATAAATGCATTTTAAATATGGTAAAAATAAGGTCTGAGTGTATATACACAAACTAAGATTATCAAAGGCATCTAGAGCAGGGGTGGACAAATTCCGCCTGCAGGCCAGATCCTGTCTGCAAGGTTCGTTCCTGGCCGGGCCCCACCACTATGTTTACCTGCGCTTTTGCAGGTATTGGACGTTGGTTGCAACTCATCATTCGCCACCAAAGCGAGCGGCATGAAGCAGTGTCCCATCCACACTACTTCCTACACTTTATTGGCCATGAACAGCAATCTGCAGCCAATGACAGTTGTGATCATCTGATCCCTGCAAAAGCACAAGTAACCATAGTGGTGACAGCCTGCCAGGGACTAACTCTGGTGGTCCGCCACTTTTTATTGCCCACCCTTGATTTAGAGGACAGAATGCCCACGTTTAGAACATAAGAACGGCCATACTGGCTCAGACCAAAGGTCCATCTAGCCCAGTATCCTGTCTGTCGACAGTGTCCAATTAATTTCCCATTAATTGATTTTTAATGGGAAATGAGTATTCAAATGTCCATGCCTTGAACGCACATAGATATACTACAGATTAGATAGAGGTGGATTGGTTCAAGTTTTTTGTAAAGATATGGAGGGAGTAGCACCCTGTCAGAATAGGCATGCACAGTCATGTGTGTCCCAAACCAGGGGTGGGCAATAACTTTTGCAGGGGGCGCCACTTAATGATTTTTGGTAGGTAGTCATGGGCAGGCTCCACCCCAAAAGGGACAGGCCCTCGGGTTAAAGGGGTGGGGCTTGGGGCTAGGCTCCCCCCAGAGTTGTCTGGGGCCAGAGGCTTTGAATTAAATATATAGCAAAGGGCTCATAGCTCCAGACCCTGCTGCTCCTACGCTGCCTGGCAGCCACCTGGGGTTACTATGGGTGTTAAAAGGGCTCACAGCTATGGCTTCTGCCGGGGTACCATCGTGACTGGGAGCGGGGAGTCATTTAAATAGGATCTGGCTGCCTGAGCCACTGCCTGGAAATTCAGTGCCACGGATAGCACGCTATAAATTGAAAGCAGCCCGATGCAGTCCGTAGGCCAGGTAAAAGCGTTAGGCGGGCTGGATCCGGCCGTCAGGCTACATCTTGCCTTGCCCAGCCCTTAAAAAAAAGGTCAAAAAGAATTTTTAAAAAACTGTTGCTTAGTAAAATTGCATATTTAACTACAGGTCAAGAAGAACTGGAAATCTGGGGATATTTTAGAGTTACCTGTTGGAGGTAAGGCGTGCTTAGTGGAAACTTCATTTTATGTTCAACATATTTATCTATCTACTCTGCAGCCACAGTAGATGATAAAAAGCACATAGGAGTTTAATAATGAGATTAGGAGTCTTGGCTCTCTTTTCTGTTTAGATACTTCATGTTGCATCATTTTTTACTACAGCTACAGGGACTGTCTGAACTTCCTGACTGTTCATCACACATAATTTGGAGCATTTACTATTATGTCAAAAAAACCTGTCCTGCCTTCCTCTGTGGAAACTTATGGGAGCTCTATATTTTTAAACTAATTTTACTTAAAATATTCCATTGAATAGAATGACTGTCTCACTATAATGGGTACAGCAGTAACGTAATTAATCTCAAAATTGCTGTGGGGAGTACAAGGAATCTCAGTTGCTTGTCGTAACAATCTAAATTAGTGTATTACTGAAAGATGTTGGGTAGGAACATTTCATTATAGGTAAATGCTGTCAAGATATCCATTATTTCTATTTCTAAAGCTGAAAATAAGACTATCATCATAGTTTTCCTTTTGAAATCCAAATGAATATGTTTGGAAGTGGAAAAATGTAATTTAATTTGATGTGGTATTTCTACAGATGCAGCTTTGCATTTTCTAATAATTAAATTTGTTAGAATAAAAATTCATGTTTTATTTAGAAATGAAAAACCAGTTTGGCTCAAAGCATGCCATTGTATCAGAACAATTCTCTTTTGTCACTGAAACTTCACAGACGGCTGCTTCTTTTTCAGAAGAAAAAAAAATCTTGTTTTTTTTTTACAGTTCTACAGGGAACAGATCCTGCGTTGTGCACAAGTGAAGGTTGAGTTAGGCATGGAAATCCTCTAGTGTACCATGCATCTATGATGGAAGTTTTGAAGAATAAATGTAAATATGATATTATTAATAATAATTAATAATAAGAAATTGCAAAGAACCATTGGAGTAGAAGATTGGAATATGATTGTCAACATTGCTTTGCCCAATCCCGTCGGAAACAAAATCAAACATCAGATGAAATGAAAGACATTCCCCTAATTTAAAGGTTATGAATGGTGACAAAAGAAGTAAATCAAAGGCAATTTGGCCTTTTATTCCCTCGTGTGCAACAAGACAATAATGGGAAACTTTTTCAGTTTGCTGCTAGTCTGAATGCATCAGCGAAGTAAAGCTTCTTTTTCAAATTAACAATTAACCTTATATCTGTAAGTATGAGATCGGAAATTGATCCTCCTTGCAAAGGAGTTGATACAGCTCCTTCTGCTCAATAAATATACTTCACAATATTAAAACCACAAGAGAGCATGTTTATAAAGTGGTAGAAGGAGAGTGAGATACTTTAGTTAGAAGGTTCATTATTATCTTTATAATCTGAAGCAAAACATGGAACAATCTAGAGGGATTATCACCTAATCTGCCCTTTTAACATATATAAGAAATTGAAATGTAAGTAAAACAAGCACTGAATAATTAAAGAAATACATAACACTAAAGGCTTGATTTTAATTTGCATAGTTTTCCCCTTAATAGTGCCTAATTAAGACATCAGTTTGAAAAAAAATCTAATAGAACTCTAAGATTTTCCACACTGAATTAACGTTCAGGACTGTTAATGGATGTCTTAATTAGACTTTGTTATTAATGGAAATTTTACACAAATTAAAATCAAGTCCTGTGAGCACTGTTCCCAGCTGAGTTTCTGCATAAATGCTATATGGAACTGAGAGACTTTTAATCCATGCACTGACAACGATTTGTAGTCTAAAGCTGAAATACTCCCAATTCCACCATTTGACTTAATTAGCATTAATATATTTACAACCAATAGAAATCATACTATTTGTCCTTTTCCTTCCAAAGTAAGTCACAAATGTATAGATCAACATATTTTCTTAAATGTGAAAAAGTTATGCAGCTGGATCCAACTGTTAGGGGCCTAAAAAAACAGAATGACTTTTTGAATAGCCCAGATGGAGCCTTATCTGTTATTGAATATACAAACTTTGATTCAGACTGAAGTTCTATCACTGTAGTGCCTGAAATGCATGCTGAAAGGCCTTTCTTTCATCAGGTGTGCTAAACATGTTTAACAGAACAATTTCTTCATGTTCATCTCAGTTGACAAAATCAGTCTTAAGAATTTGGGGAGGGGAGTCCCGGGAGGATGCTTTGAATGGGTTCACTGTCATTTCATCATTTTTGCAATACACTATACGCCACAATCTCTCTCAAAACATATTATAATATGAGCCACAAAGTGGGTCTTCACAAGAGTATTTTAGACAAGGCAGCAAAATCAGAAACCCAGACCAAGCAATGAAGATTATATTACACTGACATTGGAAATATTCCAAGTATTGACAGACCAGGGCTCAATTGCAGTTTGTCCTATAGCAGAGATCACATGTTAATGCTATGAGCTGATTCTATCATGAAAAACACTCTTACATAAAGTCCTTTGCAAATTACTCCTCTAATGAAAACCACATTAACGTCGCATGTGAGAAACAATTTGATACAATATAGCTGCCAGAAAACACAACTGTTATTGCATGCTCCTTACAAAAGGGGGGGGAGGGATCTCTAGTTCTGTGACACTCATTACTGAAGTGTTTTCATGTCTGTGCAAAGAATTGTTAAATATCTATGAAACCTTGGAATTATTCCCCTGCCAAAGTTTATCTTAATAGTTGGTCTATAAATATACTTGCAGGTTCTTTTTGTGTGCATGGCATTTACATTAACACATTTTTTGCTCCTCTCTGAAGCAAGCACTTCATCTGTGTTTTACCATGTAAATCAGAGGTGTGAATTACTGTGATTTTTCTCCTAGTGTCACGCTCCTTTGAGCTATCTACCAGTCCTCCTGCCCTGCTGCACACAGCACTCCCATAGAAGCGTTCTGTGTGCAAGATGAATTACTGTGAGATTAGGCTCTATTCTGTTTGTGCTACTGAATCATTCAGCACAAGAATCTCTCTTATATGCCACAAAGTAGCAGTGAGTTGATCTAACTAATCTGCTCCAACAAACAATCTTCTTCATCCAACTACGTTTCACTGAAAAGCTTGCCAAATTGCTTATGTTCAATGTCCCAGCATGCTATCATACCTGGACTAGTGAGATATGATTACCGCTAAGCACTCAAGGGTATACATTCTTCGTAGACATTCTTTCGGATTGTTTATTTTTACAGTACCTGGCTCGTCTGTGGACTGGACGGGTCATAAGAAGGTACATAATTCTTCAGAGTATCCTGAGGATTCAGATGGGGAGGATATCTGATCGTTGGATGAGAGAAGTAGCTAGACGGGGCAGGAGGGAGAATAGCTTGTGCTGGAAATGGCAATGGCGAAGGTGGAGGTGGAGTTCTGGTTGAGATGACTGGAGAAGATAAAATGAAAATTATTTAGTGTCTATTCCTGTTTTTTGCATAACTTTTTACCTGTGTATCAGGGAGAGAAAATAAAAATGAGTTGTGAATTGGCATGATGTATTTCTTAGCTACAATATCTTTAAATACCAGCCTTTCATTTCCATCCCCTTCCCTGCAGAGCCCCAGGGAACGGATAAGTGCTGTTATTCCAAATCCATAAAAGCCACATTTTGTTTAGTTATTTTTATGGATTACATCATCACTTGATTTAACTTTTATTTAAATGCAACAATGATTTCCCAGCAGGAAACATACTTCAGTTATAAAGTCTTCATCTCAAGAGCCCAGATGAATCGAACAAATACGTAAATAAATAAGTAAAATCCACATTTTTCTACTGCAATCCAATAAAAAAGAACAAAGTTACTGAGTTCTTAGAGACAGCCAGTGATCCCTCACTGCATTGTACTGTACCTGTCTCATGTGGGGACTGGGCAATAATTACTAGGCAATAGTGCCATGAATAATTAGCTGACCATTGTGAAAATGCTAATGAATGTTCAACTTCAGGGCCTGGGAAACTGTTCCACCCAATGAAAATTTCTCTAGCAAACAAAAAAGGATCTATCCCATACATATTTTTTTTTGCATTGTCTTCCCAGCCCCCACAAACACACAGTTCTCTATCTATAGACGACATGTAATGTCTAAACAACCAGCAATGTTTTCACAATGATAGGAATGTACAGAATGTCCTGTTACTGCCCAGGCATCAAGCCAGGAGTGGAGATTGTTACATTATTACAATATATAGAAATCACATTCCATTCTTTATTATACATTTAGAGGATACTTATTTTGTACCTTATTAAAAGGAAAAGAATGACTATGCTGGAAATGGGAGAAAAGAGTTGTGTCTACAATTTAATTAGGAAGGATGATGAGATCTGCGTCTCTGAGATACTTTATAACCTGCTTACCACTGTGGTGCTTAATGTCTGTCTAGCTCTCTGCACAATAATTCTGATTCTTACTTTTAGCAGCCCCATCACTGCCTTGGCCTTAGCTTTACATTTCTTCTCTTCTTGTACTTTTTGTTTAATTTTTAAAAATACATTTTATTTTCAACTTTTTGATCTGGGGATTAAAAAAGTTAACTATGTAATAAAAAGGCAGCAGGATGTTGTTGAGATTTTTATAAATCCCAAAGCACATCACACAGAGATATAGTATCTAATTTTTCAAATGGAGTTGGCTACATAGAATGCCCAAATCTGTCATTTGATTGTCATCCTATTTATATTCCCAAACTTGAAAATTGGGTTTCGGCTCATCAGCCTTAACTTGTAACAGCAGTTACACTGTTACCCTAATGCATGATTTTTAACATCCATAGTTTGATATCTACCTAGTAACACTATACACAAACAAATCACACCCGTGATTGTGTGTCTGTTCTATGTACTAGAGATTTACAAAAGCAGTTCAGCCACATGATTGCAAAGAGGCCAACATTTGAAAAGAACTTCCGGGTTCAGTTCTCAGAATAAGTTGGGAATCACAACTATGGTTATTGAACTACCAGTGTTGCATGTGAATTCTGGGGAGATTTATGCTCTTTCAAGTCTCCATCAAACTGTTGCTAGCTCTCCCTGACTTTTGTCTGTTTCCTTGGGAACAGTTGATAATAGGTCTGCTCATCCACCTGATGTCCTTTTAGGCCAGTGCCTTTTCCCCCATTCCTCTTCTTCCAAAGCTTCTCTCCCTTTATTCTGGTTTCCTCCTATTTCCTTCTCCCATTTCCATCTGTTGATCATCAGTTTCTTCTCTTCAGGGCCATTTTCCATTGAAACTACTGAGCATGGGATGGATCCAAATAAAGTAGCCAATCAGGCCCCAGGGCTAGGCAATTCAAAAGGGCCTGGAGCATCTGGCTGCTGCTATTGTGACAGCAGCCACAGTTGGAGCCTCGGGCACTTTAAATTACAGCCGGAGCCCTGCATGGAGTGCTTGGGGCAATGCTGAGGGCTGCCTGAGGGAAAGTTAGCCTCAGCTCTGCCTCTTCTGCCTAAGGTCCCTCCCCTTGCAGGGGTGTGGAGCTGATTCCCTTCCCCATACACGTTACCCAGGGGCCCGGAGATTCTGCTAGCCCCACTGTTGCCAGTGCCTGTGACGACTCCTGTCCAGGTTCTGCTACGGTAAGAAATGCAAACTAACAGAGTAGCCAGTAAGGAAAGGCAAAAGCGAGAGCTGGTTGAGAGGCAGCCTCTGCAGCTGGCAGATTCCATAGCTGTGGTGTCAAGGAAGGATCTGCAACCCCAGGGACTCCAGGACTAAAAGCAGAAAATTTACAGGATTACCATGCTAATTGTTATTGTATACTGTCACATAATATATTAATCTAAAAAAGAAAGGTTTTGATGAAATGGTGGGAATGGTCAAAAATAACTATGGCAGATTCCCTCCCAAGAGATCTACGCCAAAATCAGAGTCACATGTCTGACCTGAATAAAAAAATTAAGTTACTTGTTTTTATACTTGTAAGGTCTGCAGAGCCAACACATCTACAAGAGGATAAGGGGAGTCTCATCTGGCTCATGCATCATATATAGTACTGTTATCTAATTTCTGTTTGTAGTGTCCTTCCAAAAATCAGAAAGAGCTAAAATTGACTTTGATCCCAGAGTTGGTTGCTGGGCTGGATGTTCAAAAAAACACGTCTTCACTTGCAAACTGTATAAATATGAACTTAAAGTCAATGAGATGGGAGTCAAACATGAAAATAACGTTTGAGAGCAGAACTGCACTTTATATCTACAAAACAAAAATATTCCAGTCTGGATTAACATTCCATAATCCATCCTATTGTGTTCAAGGAATATTATATAGTACATAATGTTAGATAATCCCAGCCTGAAAGAACCCTGCCAAACCTTAAACTAGGGAGTTAACAATAAAGGGTCCTAAAAAACTAAGCTAAAAATTCCCCAAACTGAACATTTAACTTGACAAGCCATCCACTGTGGAACTATGGCAATACATGGTGAAAAAAGCGTTTTATAAGATAATGGTGCTTACTTGCATGAGGTGAAGATGTGGCCAAAATGGATGACACTTTATTGTAACCGGGATTGCCTAGTTTTATTTCTGAATAGATTTAAATTGGTGATCTTGTAATCTTGGTTAGTTTTGTTTGGAAAAATTGCTTCTTCATACTTGAACGTAATAATACCAATTGGGGGACCTATGTATCTCAAATCTTAACTATATTATTAATACCTTAGGGTATGTCTACACTACCCCGCTAGTTCGAACTAGCGGGGTAGTGTAGACATACCCTCTCTTCCCAAAAAAGGTACCAGTATAGAATTTATTTTCTGATTCATACACTCAATACTGTTTTGTAATTGTGAGGCATCCTTATGTAAGGCATTGAATGAAATCCTATTAAGGCATATAAATATAATACGCAGGTAGCAAAAAATGAGGGAGGGCTTATTTTGTCCTGTGAGTTCTTTCATTTAGATTACATTTATTTTCATTCACAGGTTAATTTTAGCTTGCAAGTCATTGTGAAGCGCTATCAGAACTGTCTTTAATGAGGTTTCTGCCAAGAATACCCCAAACTGAGCAATATACTGTATTACCTTTTCGCTTTCATTAGTAATATACATGAGAGTAGGTCCATTAGAATGCCTTCAACAAAAGCACCATTATCAGAGTGGGAGAAAGGAGCAGACACCAGATAAACATGGAGGGCTTCCTTCCTCCTTTATATGCCCTCACCACTGTGTGCAACTCCTGGGATTCCTGGATGGTGATGCTGGGGGAAAGTGCTCAGTCTCGATGAAGAATCCTGAGGAGATGTAGGGCTAAACAAAGGCTTCTCAGGCTTCTTCATTGTAGGAGAAGACATATCTGTAATGGAAATATAAGAAAACAGGAATGTTAAGTTGGAGTCCCCCTAATGCATCGCATGACACGGCATTTTGTAAATAATAAAATACTTGTTTATGCTACTTTTACATGTCCCTATTCAGTTATCCTACTCCACTGTGACCAACAGCCTGATTTAAAATGACTGGTTTCCAGCATGGGCATGATTAACAATTCACTAGTCTTTGGCCTGCAGAATAGAAATTGCATTCTCTTCATACCAGACAAGCGAGAAAATAAAGAAATCCATGACCTCATCAGTTCCCTAGAATTTTTTCAGTTCTACAGAACACCATATTAACTTAGCTGATGGTAATTTTATTGTAATCTTTACTGGAAATCTGCAATCACATGTGTAGAGTAATCATAACAAAAATGCCATTTTAAATTACCGAGTATTTTTTAACACAGATATCCATCTTTTCCTCTCCAAAAACATAACAACATTGTGGAACCTTTCTAAAAATGCAGGATATGTAAGTGTCAGTATTCAGATTCTCTATTTTTCAATTAGGACCTCCCCCCTTTTCCTGCCAAATTACATCCTAATTAAAATCTCTTTTTAACGTGGAGATAGCACAATGGCCATGAAAAATGAAGAAATGCTATTTTATATTGCATTGTCACAGTAAGCACAATGTACTTTGTGTGAAAGCTTAACAGAATGTTATTTATGGTATTTCAATCTCAAATTAAATCTTTGTCCCCATTTAAATTATTTATTGCACATATTTATAACCTATACATCACCATGGTATATGGGTTCAGCTTGAACTCAGTGGCATTACACATTTGCTTAAAGTTAAGTTCATTCAAAAATACAGGATAGGGATGATAAAACATCTGCCTTTTCTTTCCTACATAGACCATGCTACTTTAATGCATGTGTTTGTCATCTTTGACTAGATTACTGTTTTGTGGTGTATTTAGTGCTACACCTTAAGTCTACTTTGCAGGAGAGCCCTGTAAAACAATGCCTCATGTGAGCTTATTCAGCTAGTGCTTTATGATCAATGTGGAGTTTAAGGTGTTGGTATTAAGAAAACTTTACATACACTTAGGTCTTTTCTACCTGAGACTCTGTTTCCCTCTTCCTGCCTTCTACGCCAGCTAAGATTTGTGAAGACCGCAGAGCTAGCTCTCCCTTGATATGAAAGAGGGAAGCTGCTGCCAGGGTGTTCTCTCAGTGGACTTCTATTTTAGGAATATGCTTGGTCTGAAATAGCCTGAATTTGCTGACCTTGAGGGCTCACCCTTTTTAAAGCAGGCTGCTGAAGAGGGAGTATACAGGGAAAACAACAATACTGTTTCATTTCTTTGTTGTATATTAATTTATTCAGTATTATTATGCATTCTGAGGATTACTGTAAAATATTTTTCTACTTGTAATAGCATATAGACAGGACAAGAGTAACAAATGGTTAAGATTTGAATTATAAAATGTATCCGATACATTTCAAAAACTTTTTAAAAATTGCTTCTAGTGTGGTGAATGAGTCTAGAATATGTATTTTATAATCCTATAATAAAACTGGAACGTTAGTTCATGATTATTTTACTTTTTATCAAATGATTTCACTAGCTTCTTCATTTCTTAAAACACTTGTTTCATCTACACGCAAAGACTTTTGCACTCCCACAGAAGAGGGAAAGCAGTTACATCTTCACAAAAGCCATTAGAGAAAATTAACCAAACAGTTGGCTTTGGGCTGGGATTCTTTCACTAGTGTGTAGTCTAACACTGCAAAAACATTCCAACATTATTGTTTGAAAAAACAGAAAAGTGCCTATAGCTGCAGCCTTGACTAACACATTGCATCTATCATGGGCTGTCATATATCAATAACCGAATACTTTAATAAAACTCCTTTGGCAACACCATTATAACACCATATCACAAAAAATGTACAAAGGTCTTGAATTTTAATTTTTTTGAATATTGCTGTTAAACTTACAAGGGGTAGGGAACGATCAAACACCTAGGAGATAGGAGATGGAGAGAGATCTTTCACTTAAGTGAAAACTACATTCAACAAATGAACTTTTGAAGGAACGAACTAATTTTGGAGGAGAGATTCTACGTATGTCTGCAGCTCTAATTACTGGAGACAACAGAGATTTAATTTAGTTTGCGACCATTACTTCATTGAACAAGCCAAAGCTTTTTTGGTTTGTTTTTATTTTTTAAACCAAAAATATTTAAACAGTTTGAAAGAAGAATGCTGTAGGAAGTACAATGTAATAAGGGTTTCCGGGGTGGGGAGTGAGGGGGGCATCCCTAATTTGAAAGAAAAATTACAGAAAAGGAAATCAGTTACTATTACAACCCTTGTGTTTTGCCTTTAAAACAACTGCAGTTCAACATATACAAAGTAGCATAAATTACAAAGCAAAACTGAATATAACCATGAGACTATTACCAGAAGAAATTATTATCTCTAAATGAAGGTGAAGGACACTGGGAGCACATCTTTTGCAGCCATATGAACTCCCATCACCCAACATTGTACTTTAAAGCATAAATGATTGCCACACATGACACAACAGTGGAATACTTTTAGAACGATATCATATACAGCACTCACAACTGTAAAGTCTGAATAACTGAAATGCATGTAGCAGCTTCTTTGTTAAAACAATGTACTTAACATTGTGAAGTAATTCAGATGGTCATTTCCCCCCTTGTATGCACTGACATCATAATGGAGCTTTCATGGTCTATTCACCATGGAATAACAGATGCAGCCTACAGGAGAGCCAGAACAAAAACTATTTATATAGGTTACAGAGAGAGATTACGATGGTCTCCCCCTTGACCAAAAGGACAGGCTTATAAACTCTGGTAAGAACATATGAATTTCATTTTCTTTAGATGTTTACCAGGTTGGGGGAAAAAAATACATACTTTCATTTCAGGAAGGGCAGTTTTTTATTATCCTTGGATTTTTTTTTAATGTTTATTGCCTTTAAATGCCACCAAACTAGATAAGGCTATCTTAAGAGTTCCTGTAATTTTTACTGATAAATCCAACACTTACAAAATACAAATAACTGACAATGTTTTTTGCTTTTAAAACATGTATGTCAACCGAGAATTAAACTTCTGTTCCTGTAGCTTTACATATACAGTGATAGCTAGATAAACAAGTGATGGAGAGAGAATATAAAAGGCTTGACATAAAATCACTATGGTTTTGAGAATGAAAATATAACATTTGTTTCACTGTGAATTATTTGTGCTGTGTTGATTCTTTGAAAAATACTTAGTATATACAGAGAGGGAAAAGTATCCAGATCAGCATTTAGACTAAGATATTCCATTTATCTTACTGTTCCATTGACATGAAAAGAACTCATGGCTGTGTCCTGCTTAGAATTTTCTTTAAATTTTAATGTGACATGATTATACTTTTAAGAATTCACTTTGCTGTTCAAATTATTCTTGCATAACATCCTCATATTATTTGTGGAGGTACAGTATATACATGTCCAGGCTGAGACACATTATAAATTTTAATGCATTAGATGAAAGAGATATAGGCATATGCAAATAAAAAGAGTTAGATCAACTCATCTCCCAACAAGGTAATTCCATCTACAAAGAAAAGGAGAAGAGAATTGCTGTGAAGCATAGCGTATGCCGCCTGCTCATCAGCAGCTTGCACAAATGGTGCTCCAGATGTATATGTGTTCAAGTCAGCCCAAGGCAACAATTTTGATCAATTCAAATGTGATAAAATGCTGCAGGGAAAGTGTGCAGAAACGTGTTTACGTCAGCCTTTAATTAAACTGTTGTTCGCTTCCAAAGAACCTTAGGAAACACTAATGAGACATGAGTTTCAGCAATTTCCTCATCAAAGCAAAGACCCTTTCTCTCAATCTGAAGCAGCCTGTCATGCAAGTAGGTCCCTGGATAAATGTCACATGGCACACCAATCGGCAAGCCACCTGTTAGTAGAACTTTGCTAGAGTCAACTGGTGATCCAGGGCAAATTCAAACATCCACCTGACTGCTTTGGACTCTTGCTCAGTTTTCACATACAGCACAGGAACACATTATATTTTTTATAATGCTGGTGGTGCAGCAGTGTGAAGAGATGACTAAATAGAAATAGAGTATAATCTATTTAATCCAATTTATTCTCTATCACTTCTCATTCATATCTTTACACTGCTTAATTTAGCTAATCTTGCTGTGCAAGATACACTCCTGCAAGGTACAGTACCTCTTAGTAACGTTTAGAACTCAGTTTTAGCATTGCCTTGAGAAATCTAGATAAGAAAATCTTCAAATTATGGCTTTTGTACTTTGCAGTGAAAGGTATGAAAACAAGAGCATTACTGAACAAGAGTAGCAAACATGCAAATTCATGCAACCAGCAGGAGCTAGGGACTTCTGAAAATCCCAGCAGAGTTTAAATACAGAGCAGGGGGGTACCCAGGAGCCAACTGGCTAGCTCAGTCTCTGACTCCCAGCCATGAAAAGGCTGAAAAAGTATAGGCAGCCCTACTCCCAATTTTGCAACAGGAGCGTGTCCACATTTTCATGTCCACACCACCATCCCAGCATTCACACTACCGTACCTCCCACACACCATGTTACAACCCATGCGGAGCGTGTCCACATTTTCATGTCCACACCACCACCCCAGCATTCACACTACCGTACCTTCCACACACCATGTTACAACCCATAAAGCCCATTCAAGACCCGTCCCTCACTGATTACAGGAAAGAGACATTTTGTTAGTGTTGGACGGTGATCTCAGAATATCTCCTTTCTACACTCTATGGGGCCTGAGTCTCAACTGCTTTGGTAGACAAGTACAGCTCTGCAAAATGGGCATAACATTTTACCCGATCAGAATGGTAGTGTTTCACATCCATTTTGTGCAGCTGTAAATGCCTACACAAAATGCTAGTCAAAAAAGAATCATTGAGTTCAGTGGAATAATTCTGGTTTGTAAGAGAGCAGAATCAGG